AACTGAAGCAGGATCAAAAGGTCTTGAAAAAAGCTGGGTTTACCCAAGTGGCTTTGCCACTCCCCATCTCTGAAAATGCCTTGAAGCCGCTCAGTGCAGGCCATTCTGTATCTGGCTCTCTGCTGATGCCAGGGGAGGAAGTCCCATCTAAAAGTCAGGATCACAGCACAGCTTTGAAAGTTGTGAAGTCAAGCACTCACAGTCCAGGTGCACAGAGGAGACAGGAAGAAAGGAGGAAAAGAATCCAAGGCTTGGAAGAAAGCTTGGTGCCTACCACTGCATCCTTGGGTCATCAGAGAGAGCTGCACAGATATACCCCCCGTGATTCTGAGGCCGCCAGAAGAGCTGACGACAATAGATTGCCAAGTGTTGAGAAGCTGGAGGAGTTGAAGGATGGGGAGCCAGGTGACCAGAACTTCAGCAGCAAAGTAGTACAGAGGGGCCGTGAGTTCTTTGACAGCAATGGAAACTTCCTTTACAGAATTTGAGCCTGGGGCTGGCTTTTGGAGTTGCCTTGATACAGTGGGGCAAGTAAACTTGAAGCTGCCAGCGTTTCTGCACACATTGGCCACTTTGGCATAAGAATTGACGAGGCTAGGATATAGATGGAGGAGCTACTTGGCTAGAGTCAAGACCCATCAGTAAGACCCATCAGAGCTCTGTGGGTTTAAGTATTCATCCTTGTTGCTTGGTCTCTGTTGAGAACAAGAACTAGATGTGTTGTCATGAGTCTGTGATACTGTGTGGGAGGAAATTTTAAAGTTTGTCCCCAATCTCAGTTTCTTTCTTTTTTTTTTTTTTTTTTTTTTTTTTTTGAGACAAAGCTTCTTGGTGTAGCCCTGGCTGTCCTGGAACTTTCTGTGTAGACCAGGCTAGCCTTAAACTCACAGAGATCTGCCTGCCTCTGCCTCCCAAGCACCGGGCTTGAAAGGGTATGCCACCACTCCTGGCTTCCTTCTTGATCACTAAACGCTATTCTTGAACTGTTTAATGGACTGGTCTCCTTATATGAGAAATAAAGTAAAATGTAGCAGTTTGTTGCTTGGTGCTCTCTGGGATAGGGTTTACCTGAAAAACTTAGGACTAGGGTGGAATAGAAAAAGTGGGGGGAAAAAAGAGTATTCTTTGTCATTAAATTAAATTTTGATAGATGACAACAGAAGACTCCTAGCCAACAAAAGGCGTCTGCACATAGCACGCCCCTCGGTGGTAAATTACTTTTTAAAGTTTTAAGGTTAGATTTTTGTATGTGTGCCACAGCACACATGGAGATCTCATTAGACAGCTTGTAGCAGTCGGTTTTCTCTTTCCGCCAAGCGCCTGAACCTGCTGAGCCATGCCACCAGCTTTCATGGCAACCAAAACTTGGGAGTCTTTGAATTGTTGGGGTTCTGAAAACGATTTGGGAGTGGGAACAAAACAGTTTTTAACAAAGCTGTTCAACTTTTAACTCTAAACTCTAGTGGCCAAAGACTTAGAGTCCCTAACCTACTCTACCAAACTACACGCTCAAGTTAAATTGTATTTGATATCCCAGTTGATGTTAGGCTCTTCCTAAAGCTGACGTGAGTACACAGGAACTCAGCTCCTGGACAAATGAACAGACCCTAAGACAGCTGCTGGTAAATGGCAATCTGGAACTTGAACCCAAGCCTCCATTAAAATCCTAGCAATACCGCATGGTGCGGCATAAATTCCTGACTCTTTTAGGGGCTATACTGAAAAAGTTCTAGTAGAAAATGAAACAGGTCAGCAACAGGAACCAGTAACAGTTTTCACCTATGCTGCACTTCAGCACCTGGCCAGCTAAAATCGGTCCACTCAAATTATGTTGGCACTTAAAGCTTGGCCATCCCAGCTTTGACATTGCCATTTGTTAGAGTCTAGCTTTCTGAAATGTCAATTAACAGTAGTTATAATTTAATTGTCTTTTGCTTTTGAGATAAGGGTCTTACTAGCCCAGGCTGACCTGAAACAGCCATCATTTTTCTCAGCCTTGGAAGTGCTGGGATTGTAGGCTTCTGATATCATTTCCCCAGCCGCCCAATCTAAAGCAGCTCTTTCACATTCCATGACCCTACCCTTATTTTCAGCAGCTGATGGAAGTTAATACTATCATCCTTCACCTTCTCTCACTTTGAATGAAGACCCCCATGAAGGGAAGAGACCTATGCATTTATCACTGTGTTTCCAACTGTACCAGCGCTCATTACTGGTTAAGTGAAAAGATGGCTGGGGGGCTTCCTGTCAGTGATTCTATTGTGGTAAGCACCACCTTCCAGTCTTGCCATCTTTCCACTCAGACCTTAACCAAGGCACGGAAGCTTCCAAGCTGACCTTTTCTGCTGTGTCCTGTTGTCTCAGGCACCAATTCACTGGTGTTTGGAGACAGCCTAGGCTGGGAGACTGGCATGTGGGACTGAGTGCAATTCCAGCTGTACCCACTGGGCTGTGGTCACAGGATTTCATGGGTCTCTTTTTGTGGCCATCCAGTGTCACAACACAACTCCAGTTGTGAATGAGGTATAGGACTGCACTCCACAGTCACCATGTCTGGTGGAGGGAGAAACGGGACATGAGGCTTTACGGGAGTTGGAGAGAGAGCAGCCACAGAGGACCGGATACCTCAGCAACTTTTGTTGGCAGACACAACACAGTGGACGTGGCTGCACCACAGACTTTGCTGCTCTAAGGAAGGAACATGGCGGTGAAGGTATCTCAGGACACCTCTGTCCCTCAGTGCAGCGGACTGAGGTCAACATAAACCAGGAACTCCTGAGCACCCCATGAGGTCAGCCCCCCTCCCTTTTTTTGTAGCTTTTATCTATTGTAGTGCTGGAGATTGAACCATCTAGTCTGTTATATAAGTGACTTACCCATTGGTTTGTTTTCTATACAAGATTCATGTCCAGTAACATTGCATTTTGTTGGCATGTTCCTCACGTCTTTTAACCCTTGGTGGGGAATAAGGTAACAAATTCAATAGAGTAGGGTAAGAGAAGCAAGTGTTACTATACCATTTTGCAGAAAGGGATGCCAGCACAGAGAAAAGGCAAAAATTACTGGAATGCTGATTTGGTGCCAGATGGTTTTAAATTGACTATGAGAAATTCCTGCCCTTTTATCTCCGTAGGCTGTTAGGGATTCACAGTCTAGCATAACATACATATGTACACACACATATATGTATGTAGTTTGAGTGTTGGGGCTGTTCCCTTTTGTAGCTGACTTTTATTTATTTTGAGATAGTGTCTCCGTAGCACCAGCTATGCTGGAACTATGTAGACCAGTCTAGTCTTGAACTCCAGACATCCTGCCTCTGCCTCCCTGATGCTGGGGTTAAAGGTATGGGCCACCATGCCTAGCCTCCATAATCTGTTTCTTACACTTTAAGCCTAATTATTCTATAATTGTTTTACCTTTCACATCTTTTTCCCCTTGCTATTTATTTTTAGAAGTTTGGTCATTTTTCCCAGAAGAGTTCCTGCTTTAAGGGAGTGGGAATTGGGAGGTCAGAGATTGAGGTGGAGTCCTTGATAGCTCTCCATCTTATCTTTTGAGGCACTGTCTTCTGCTGAACCCAGATCTAGGCAGTTAGGTTAGTCTAGCTAGACAGCTTGCCTGAGAGATCCTGCATTTGACTTTGGAATGCTGAGGTTACTAAGGGGATGTCACACCCATTTAGCATTTTTTTTATTATTTATTTATTTATTATTATTATTATTATTTTGTGGTTGCTAGGGATTCAAACTCTAGTCTCCACCCTATATCTACTGAACTGTTCCCTAGCTTCTCTCAACCTTCTCCCTCCCTCCCTTCTTGGAGGCAGACTCTCATGTTGCCCAAAGTATCCTTGAACTCCTGATCCTTGTGTCTCCGTCCAAGGAATGGGATCACAGACACCTGCAAAGATGCCAGACTGCCTTTGTCTTCACACACACCACTACTAAACTACTCACTTTCCCTCATTGTTTCTTCATTTACATATTTCCTCAGTCAATTCCTATCTGCAACAGCATGGCCTACATATTGAGGCCTTGTCTCAACAATTCTGGGCCTACTCAAGAGGTTAAGAGCACTGGCTTAACTCAGTTCAATTCCCAGCAGCCATCTATAATGAGATCTGGCGCCCTCTTCTGGCCTGCAGGCACAAATGCAAACAACTCAGTACATTCAAAACAAAATAGCACTATACAGATGAACTGCTCTGTGTGTGTGTGTTTTCTTTCTAGACAGTGTTTCTCTGTGTAGCCCTGGTAGTCCTGGAACTTACTCTGTAGACCAGGCTGGCCTCCACTCAGAGAGCTGGTGTCTGCCTCCCAAGGGCTGGGATTAAAGAGGTGAGCCACCAACAGCCGATTATGTCGGTATTTTGCCTCTTTAATTTATTCAGTTGTTTTCTAGCATGATTGTGCCACAAGTTTATTCATTTTTCCCATAACGGCCATTAACAAAAAACTGATAGCCAAGGATCACAGCTGCTAAACCTTAACTTTCATAGTCCAACACATTTCATTCCTCTTCACACTGCTCAAACTCACATCCTACTATTATCACCAGGAAGCCAAGGACTGCATAGTTGGAGGCTAGATTAACAGCTGAGACTCCAGCAATCAGCGCTCTGCAGACCAGGTTTCGCTTGCTTCCCGAAACTTTAAATACAAAAAGGGCCCAATTCCTACTTGTCGAAACCAGAGTCTGTTGTACCCTTAAAATGTGTCCCTTCCTAGGATCTGGAGTTTGATGAATAAACAATTAACAAGGCTTAATCCCTTTATCAAAAGAAAACTTCCCTCTGGTCATGGGGCTGGAGAGAGTGCTAGTTGTGTGGCAGCTCAGAACCGCAGCTTCAGGAGGTACACGCACACCCACGTTCTCTCTCACACCCAAAAGAAACTTGTAAAAAATTTAACGCGTCGCCTCCTGTATCCAAATGTCCCTTTCCGGACGCCGTCTTCTCCCAGTGCTCTCAGCGGCGGCTGGGGGAACCGGACTTCCGGGAGGTCTAGGAACTCGCTCGTCTCTGAGCTGGAGGCGGGGTTCTTCCGGCACGCTGCCGCTGTGCGGATGCGGTTGGGAGTCCTGCTGACAGGCAGAGAGGACCCGGGCGGGGCCCAGTGGCTGCCGGTCTACAAGGAGAGGCCCTCGAGGCTGCGGCCGTGTGGGCGGGAGGGAGGTGGTCATTCGTCCGTCGAGTGCGGCAGAGGAGCGAGAGCCCCTCTTGGGTCCTGGGACCCAGAGGCCAGTCGTGCGGGGTACCAGCCTGCGCTGTCCCTGGGCTGTCTCCGGCCTTTTCAGAATAGAGGGCATCCTGCTTCACTCACACGGTGGCCCAGGTGACGGCTCCCATGGCTTTCCCCCATCGGCTGGACGCCCCTGAGCTTCCTGACTTCTCTATGCTCAAGAGGCTGGCTCGAGACCAGCTCATCTATCTGCTGGAGCAGGTCAGTGCCTACCACGCCTGGCGTCTTTACTTCATCAACAGTGTGGCCCTCAATGTGCTTAGTCTCTTGGTATTTTCCTTGGAGCTTCCGCGGCAGGTCCAAAGTGGGGCACTCGACAGGAAAAACCAAAGAGTAGTAAGAGTTGCTTGCAACCTGGCCAGTGAATAAATGGAAATTGTCAGCCACCGTGCAAACGAGAAAGACATTTGTACCAGGCATCACTGGAGATGGGAATGTAGTTTGTCAGTAGTTATATTTCAGTAGGTGCTCTATGAAATAATGACACCTAGGGTATCGGGTGGTAAGTGAATTCTAGACTTCCTGAGAGGTTCAGAATAAACAACAGCAGCAACCGAGGTGATCTCAGAGTTACCTGGGATTTGGAGTTGGAAGAATATAAACAAATTTTCTTTGGAGTAGGAAGAGCATGCACCATTCAGGCAGTAGGGCTGCTGGGAAGTAAAGCGAAGAACTATCAGAGGTTGGTTACATTGTAGGATTTTGGAATATAGTTCAGTGGTTAAACAGTTGGGTATGCACAATCCTAGTTTCATCCACTGCACCCCGTGTAATCGAAAGTTACACAGCCAGAGGTGGTTGTGCATAGCTTTAATCCCAGTACATACATACATTCATTCATTCATTCATTCATTCATTCATTCATTCATTCATTCATTCACAGGCAGAGGCAGGCAGATTTCTGAGTTTGAGGCCAACCTAGTCTACAGAGTGAGGCCCAAGATTACACAGAGAAAAACTGTCTAGAAAAACCAAACAATCAAACAAACAAAAACCCAAACAAACAAACAAAAATGTACATAGCAAACTGAAGACCTACACCCAAACATAGGTCAGTTAGGAAAACACTGATTAAATTGAAGTAATAAAAGCACACAAAAAATTGGTGGCAATAGGAATGAGAGAAAGTGGTGGAGTTTTGTTTTTGGTTTTTGTTTCTGTGGGTCCCACTATGTATTCCAGGCTGGCCTCTGACAGTACCCCTGACTCAGCCTACCAAGTGCTAGCATTATAGGAATTTGCCAGCGCACATGACTTGTGATAAATATAAGTTACAGTGAAAGGAAAGTCAAAGACATTGATTAGTTGTAAATGTTGAGGAAGGAGCGAAGTTTACTTGGTCCTTTAATCTGTGCTATTAGGAAAATAGTGTTGCTACTATCATTGTAGTACTTTGCTTATTTGCATTTCCCATTAGCGTAGAAGGCTCTCAGGGATAGGAGCAGTGTCTGGTATGCACTGTATACCCATCATCAAGAACTGAGCTTAGAGTGGGGCACACAGCATGTGCTTAATGAATATTTGTTGCGTCAAGATTGAATGAAAACAAAAAGCACACACATATAAGTGTGGTACGTATGTAGACACAAAGTGCACGTGAATGTGCGCGTGTGTACATGCACACACAGACACACACACAACCAGAAGAAGAGGCTAAGTGGAGGAACTCGGTTGATTTGGAGCTTAAGTGAAGTAACGGTGCCAGTAGTGAGGGCCTGTAGTGGATGTTCCTTGGTGGTGTATAGTTCCCCTCCATTGAAACCTTGGCTTCAGTCCTAGGACTGGAGAAGGGGCAGAGGGAGAGAGAAAGGAAAAAGATGAGGGAAGGAGCGGCTGACAGCAGGAGGGCTGGGATGAAACTTGGAAGGTGGGAGAACCTCGGGGGACCCAGGACCATATATTATTTCACCTTTGTAGCCCCACAGTGCTAACAGAGATTCACGCATGAAAGTGTTTCAGCAAGTGTGGGCAGAATGGAAAATAAAAGCCTGGAGAGTAGGGGAGAGTCAGGATAGAACCTTGTTAGTGGAGTGTTGTGGCAGAAGAGGCACATGTTAACTCAAGGTCAGAGGGAATCTCTGGGAAAGAATTCCCTCCCCATTATTAATTCCTGATTTTTTTTCATCTTGTGTGTGCAAGTTTACGTATGTATGAGTACATACGTACGTGCCTGTGTATGGGGAGGCCCAAGGTTGACATTGGTAGTCTTCCTAAGCACCTTATTCATTAGGGCGGGGTTTCTCAGTTAAAGTTAGAACTTGCTGATACAGGCTAGTCCGCCAGCTCTAGGGATCCTTCTGCTTACAGAGTGCTGGGATTACAAGTGGCCCAGCACTCCCAGCTGGCATTTTCGTGGTTGGTGGGATCTGAGCTCCAGTTTTCACATTTACCCAGGAAATTCTCCTGCTCTCTGGACCAGGATGTCCCACCCTATTCTCTCCATTGCTCAGTGTTGGCTGGTTGGTTTTATTGGCAATACAGAGAACAAATTGAGACAGGTGATGCTTAGAATAAGCATCACAATGCAATGTCTGCGTTGAAACCAGGTAGAGAAATCAGCATTTGAATGAACAAAGGTAAACTGTACACAGTCCACAAGAACATGATGTCAACAAAGCAACATCCAGAGTGTTGGTGCTGGCATCCCACAGTGGGTATTAGGCGATGGGGATGGGGGATGGGGTAGGATGAGTGCTATCTGGGGCTTTCTGGTCTTTCTTTCTTTTGTTTGTTTTGTTTTGTTTTTCGAGACAAGGTTTCTCTGTGTAGCCATGGTTGTCCTGGGCTCACTTTGTAGAGATTAGGTTGGCCTGCTTCTGCCTCCCTGAGTGCTGGCATTACAGGTGTGCACCACTGCGCTCAGCTCTGGGGCTTTCTTTTTCCTTTTTAGGGATGGTAATTGAAATTGGTGTCTCATGAATATAACACACAGCATCATTGAGTTACTCACATATCCAGCCCTGTCCTGATTTTCAAAGTTCCGTATTAAGTATGTCATTTCTGTAACTAAAAGAAAAATGCCACTGGAAAAGGTATTTAGCTTTTAGTTCAAGGGGTTGCAGGATGTAAAGTGGACTTTTGTTGCGTTTGTCTTTACTAGGAAATGAGAAACTGTTATGAGGCAGAGTAGAAGAGGGCGTGGAGAAGAGAAACAGAGACCAAACTCACACTTGAGTAACAAGGAGCCAAGCTGGGAATGTGGAATATTTTTATATGCATAGAAGTGTTCGTGGTGAACACGAACACTTATATTTACGGGCAGTAAATATGATGCTTAGTTAATGCCCTTTCAACTCAAGACTAGGCTTTTATTAAATGAGTGCCTAGACAAATTCCTGTTTGAAGGGCGCTTGTTTGACCTATGAGTGATGATCAACCATGCTTTCTCTCATTCAGCTTCCTGGAAAAAAAGATTTGTTCATTGAGGCAGATCTCATGAGTCCTTTGGATCGAATTGCTAATGTCTCCATCCTAAAGGTACCAGCCCTTTCTCATGTTTTCTCAGGGCAACTCTTCCCTTTTTTTCCTCTTTGAGCAGTTTTTATTTTGATGAGCATAACCAATTGCAAAGGAGTGGTGCCCTGGACAGGCTAAGGACAGTTAGCTCACCTGGACGGACACGCAGGGAATGATGATATGTTTATGCCGTGTTTTACTTTTGGTTTTCCCATCGACAGTAAGGAATTAACTCTTAGTGGGATGGTTATCAGTGGAGCAGGTGGACTTCTAGAATTAACCCTTCAAGTGTTCCCTGTCTTTGTGTCATGTTTTGGGCTGTTCCAACTCTTCTGACCGTTGTCATGTTGGATTCTCTCTGTAGCAACATGAAGTAGACAAGCTGTACAAGGTGGAGAACAAGCCGGCCCTCAGCTCCAATGAACAGTGAGTGTCTGGGAGAGTCTGTGTGGCCTCCGATCTGGAGGAGGTCCCTAGGGGTCTATTTGCCTTGCTCTGTCCTCGCCTGTGGCCTGCAGCCACAGTGCTGTGATGTGGGCCAGTTCCCTGGTCGTTCGCAAAATCATGCTGATTATTAGTCTGCCTTTCTGCAGTTTCTCACACTATGCCCTTTCTCCTTTCTACTCCATGTTGTTATCTATAACTAGAGTCATTCCTTGTCCAAAAACTGTTATTCTACCATCAACTACTTCCAGGAGTAGCCGGAAGATGGCTCAGTGGATATAGTGCTTTCCATGCAAGCCCAGTGATCTGAGTTCAATCTCTGGAGCCCATGGAAAAGCAGAAGGAGGGAATCTACTCCCCAGAGCTGCCCTCTACTTGGACATGTGTACCTGCACTCACACATGCACAGTAACAGTAAACAGATAAACAAATAATTAAATAAATAGAATGTCTAGGGTCAGTGAGATGTCTTAGCAGGTAAAGATACTCGCCACCATGGCTAACAGACAACCTGAGTTCCTCCAACATAGTAGAAGAAGACCTATTCCCACAAGTTATCATCTGACCTTCACACATGCTGGGACATACATTGTTTATTGGATTTGGTCCAGTTTAGCATCATAGATTCCAAGGCCTTGATGCTGCTCATATAGCCTTGTTCTTCATGTGTGCTTTCAAGCCTCTGTTGACATGTGCTTCCGCACACATTCCAGAGTATGCCTTTGCCCTTTGTACCACTCCAATCACTCTGCCTGAAATTCTCTCCTTTCTTTACTCCTATAAAAAACTCAGCCCTGCTCTTCCATGAAGCTCTCTTCCAGACCAGGTTGATTTTCTGCATTCTAGGTTTCCAGGGCCTTTTGTATCGTCCTCTCTACATGTCATGCAGTTGTAGTCTGATCAAACCAGGACTTTGAGCAAGTACTCTACCATTGTGCTATATTTGTAGCCATTTGATTGTTTTAAATATTTCCCAAACTTGAGTAGTATATACCTTTCTTTAGAGCAAAAACTTCAAGATACAAGGAAAATACATGCACACATTCCAGTTCTTACTATTTTTAGTACTTGATTGATTATATATAAATATAATTTATAAATTATAAATTCATGAAGATATATACTTTTGGCCCATTGGATCATCAGTTATTTAGGAACAGGAATGCCTAGATCCACTGTAGGGCCAATAAAGGGGCTTACACTGTCACCTTGTACCTGTTGAGAAATGTCTTCTGTGGGTGGCCCATGCTAGCTCAGAGACCTGTATACTCGGTCAAGAAGGGCAAATGGCTAAAGACTTGCTTGTTTTGATTTCTTCTTAGGGCCTGTCACCAGCTTCATGACTTTTCCTAACTCTCCCTTTCTCGCCCATAGGCTGTGCTTCCTGGTCAGACCCCGCATCAAGAATATGCGCTATATTGCAAGTAAGTGAGCCGTGGGTCCTATGTGGAACTAAGCAGGGGAAAGGTGGGCGACTTAGAAGGGCCTTGGCCCTAAGGGCCCTTCGGTAAAAGGTCTGTTGGACATTGTGGTGTACATCTGTAATCCCTGTACTTGGGAGGCCAAGGCAGAAAGAATCCAAGTTTGAGGCTAGCCTGTGCTACATATACGTAGCAAGATCTTGGCTGGGGAAGTGGGGGTCTCCAGGAAGGGAGAGAAGTTCTGCTTCTTTGTTTCTTGTCTAACAAATGGCCCATCCTTGCTGGGCTGCACTCCTTCTCTCTATAGATCTTGTCAACGCTGACAAGCTGGCTGGCCGAATTAGAAAATATAAAATCATCTTAAGTCCTCAGAAGGTGAGTTTTGGTCCTGGAAGGAGGGGATATAATCAGGAACCAGGAGGAGGACTTGTGATATACTGTTCTGGGGAGACATGGACAAGCATCTGTTCACCCCAGATAGGGACCTGGTGACTGACTGAAGTATGGATACATCAATAGTCCAACTTGGTGAACCAGTGAGTTTTATTGAGGCTGTTTCCAGACATATGGCAGGGGTTGCTTACAGGAGCAGAAATAACTCAGAGACATAACTTGGTGAGTTGCATCACCAAAGCCCACCCCGAGCATGGGTGCCAGTCACAAACACTAGAGACCTGGAGCACACTGCACAGTCTGCAGGCAGCTTGAGGAGATGTCCTTTTTAGGTGGTTCTTCCAAGGAGCTAGGCCGCTCTGGGACTGACTCTGAGTAGGCTGTATTGCTTATTTACTCTTGGGAAGGGAGGGGCCTAGTGACCTTGTCAGTTTCAGGGACTTCTTGAAGCTGTTTTGAGTTGTTTGCTTGGTGTGTCAGTGAGCTTTCCTGGAGGACTGAGTTTCAATCTCAGGGGACACTACTATGTAAAACAGGACTGGGATAAATGGCCAGTGGCATGCTGTCTTTTCAGTATGTATCTATGTACTTAATAAAGGATCTGTCATCAAACTGCCCCCAAAGAAGTGTGGAGTTTGTGATTTGTGGAATAGTGACGTCCATATAGATTTCATTGTGATCTCTCTCTCTTTTTGTGGGGGTTGGGATTGGGATGGTAGGGGGTGCTAAGGGTCTAATTAAGGTCTTAGGTCTCCTAGGCAAGCACTCTACCATTGAACGACACCCCCAGTTCTAAATAATTTGAAAAGCTTTATATTTTTGAATCGGCTCCTGTTGTGTGTCCCTGCCAACACATATTTATTCCTGTATAGTAATGGTACATGGTACTGTTTTTCCTGTGACTGTTCCTTCTCAGTCTTTTCCCCCTACTTCTGTATTCTGTACCCCTTTTTTAACTTAATCATTTCTATGACAAGGTTTTCGAGGTTTTTTTAAAAAGATGTATTTATTATTTATACAGCATCCTGCCTGCACGTGTGCCTGCGAACCAGAAGAGGGCACCAGATCTCATTCTAGATGGTTGTGAGCCACCATGTGGTTGCTAGTAGTTGAACTCAGGACCTTTGGAAAAACAGCCAGTGCTCTTAACCTCTGAGCCACCTCTCCAGCCCTCTGTACCACTTTTGTTTTTGTTTTTGTTTCCCTGGACTCTTGTACTTCACTCTGTCTGTGTAATACACACATTCTCTCTGTCTATCTATCTCTGTCTCTCACCATTTTCTTTGATATATATATATATATGGGGTATATATGTATATACCCTCACACATATGACAGATAAGCCTGTGAGACGGTTTGAAAGAGGAAAGATTTACTTTCGCTATGGATTTTTACAGGTTTCAGTACATGGTTGGCTATCTCTACAGGTTTCTTATTGTTGTTTTGACATGCTCTCTCTACATAGCCCTGGCTGTCCTGTAACTCACTAGAACAAATTTGTCTGAACTCCCAGAGATCTACCTGCCTCTGCCTCTGGAGTGCTTGCCCACCCACCAGCTCTATCTCCATTGCTTTAAAGATCATGGCAGCCAGGAAACAGGGAGATAGGAAGTGACCAGGGTCCCACAATCTGCTTCAAGAACACATCCCTTGGCTGGGTAGTGGCACCCGCCTTTAGTCCTAGCACTTAGGAGGCAGAGACAGGTGGATCTCTGAGTTTGAGGCCAGCCTGATCTACAAATTGAGTTCCAGGACACCAGGGATACACAGAGAAACCCTGTCTCTAAAAACGAAAGAGCATATTCCTAGCCACCCACTTCCTCTAATTAGTCCCTGCCTTCTGCAGTTGCACTACCTTGTTAGTGTATTTAGATTTTTAATCCACTGGGGATTGAATCCTTGATTAGGTCATACTGAGTTAGGTCAGACTACAACCTAGCCATCTCTGGAAACACTCTCACAGATTAACCTAACAGAGTGCTTTATCAATCTTTAGATGTCTCCGAATCCAGTCAGGTTGACAATCAAGATGATAGTCACATCCAGCATTAGGAAAAGACCAGAATAAGTTTGTTATTAATCACCTGTCCTAATCATCTAATTGACTTTTCTCTTTCAGTTTTATGCATGTGAGATGGTGCTTGAGGAAGAGGGAATCTATGGAGGTGAGAGGAACCGAATGTGAGTGAAGGGAGAGAGAACATATGAAGAAATAACTCCTGTTTCCCACTTCCCAGCTCCTTCTCTGGGTCTTAACTCCTGTTGGTCTAGTGAGAGGTTCCTGGGAATGAGACTGGGAACAGGACCTCGATGAGAACAGCATGGGAGGCTGGGGGTAGAGTAAAGGATTCCCAGCTGCTGCCTCTCAGACTCCCACAGAAACAGGTGGCCCCAGACTCCTCAGCATGGCCTGCCGTGTCTCCCACAGTGTGACTCCTTCTCCCTCGGCCTCCCCGTGTGCTGCGCCTTTCCTTCACCTGTTTCCTTCTAGTCACGGGGCTTTGTGCTTGCTTTTCCTCTACCTTAGATTGCTCTCTACCCTGAGAATTTTCCCCACCCAAATCTTACTCAAGTTCCAAGCTTAACTGTCACTTCTTTAGGGAGGTATTTCCTTTTGTAGCTCAGGTGTTCCTGGTGGCCAGGGTCTGAGCAGGGAGTCCCAGGTTTTCTTGACCTCTTAGCCAAAGGATTGAAAATAAAGGGTGACCTATATCTGCAAAAGAAGCAAGATAACTTAATTTGGAGCTAAGCGATAGTACAGATTATAAATACATGTCAAGATTGTCAGCTAGCTACATGAGTGAGAATACTCAAGGTCCCAGGCTAGTTTCACTCTTTTTCTTTTTGAGACAGGGTCTCTCTCTATAGACCTGGCTGTCCTAGAACTCACTATGTATACCATGGCCGGCCTCAGATTCAGAGAGATCCTCCTGTGAAATGCTGGGGTTAAAGGTGTGCACCACCATGCCTGGCTAGTGATCTCTTTATGGCGTCTAAGGGAAGGAAGGACTGGTTACTGAGAGCCATGGCCTGGATTATTCTCCATTTTGATTGATATATTAGGTTACATAATCATTCTTTCATTGCCCATATCTCTTCCACAATTTGTCTAATTTTAGTCATATGCCTGCCCAATTATGCATAGGCCTAAAATGGTAAAGAGGGCAGTCTCCCTTAGAGGTCACTTGAGGATGCAGTTCAGACCAGGTCAGCCTTTCTATTCTTTGAACCTGATATATTGGGAATGCACTTGAATAAAAACTGTCTAAATTTGATTGTATTGGGGATGGAGAAACCTGTAATATTGCTCAGAGATGGGAGTAGGCATAGTCCAGTGCAGGAGGAAGTAGGGTAGGGGGTTGAGGGTGCTAGATACATTGTTTGGAGAGGAGTGTGTGAATAGTATATGCAAGTGAAGGAACTAAGCTGCCAAGTGCTGTCTTTGCACTCACTCTATAGCCTAGACAAGCCAGGAAGTCATTCCTTTACCCATAGTTGTGGTTAATCCTTGTAATATTTGGGCTCATAGTTTCCTTATTTGTTTTGTGATGAGACTTGAACCCAGGTGCTCATGCAGGCAGAACATGTTTTATACACCACAAGCCCAGGGCTTGCTCTTGTGCTCTTTGGGAGAGTACAACTACAAGAAGTATTGGGTCATAATTTGTCTGCTGCATCTGTCCACCACTAGATCATAATTCCAAAAGACTGGGGGGAGCCCATATTCTTCACCACTGTCTCCCCAGTGCGTAACATAGTCCTACGTGTAGGTAGGTGATTTCAGTATTACTTGTTGAATCATGAATATAGACATTTCTTGGCATTTGTTCTCAAGCCCGTAGTAAAAACCACCACGTACCACAGTGCACTGTGGGCCTCTGTGTATGTCTCCTTCCATGACGAGATTAGATGCTCCTTATGTTTCTTACTCTGAATCTCCAGCGCCAAACGTTATACTTGGGTATAGCAGCACTCAAATATTTGTTGCATGACTATGGCAGACCGTCATTTAGCATGGAACCATGTACCTTCTGCCTGAAGGCTGATGTTCTCTGTCCCCACAGACGTGAGCTGTGATGAGTGGGCCTTTTCCCTGCTGCCTCTTGATGTGGATCTGCTGAGCATGGAACTGCCAGAGTTTTTCAGGGATTACTTCCTGGTAATGCAGGGCTCCCGAGTCTTGGTATCAAAAGATGTTGGGTCCAGTGGACTAGAAATATCGACATCTTTTCCTAACTCATAATTTATCATAAGTGACATTGATTTCACAGTTGAAGGCTACAGGTTGTTTTGGACAGAACTTCTGTCAGGGCTCTCAGTCAGCTATTGCTGTGGTTAAACACCTGAGAGAGCCTTTGTTTGTCTGTTTGCTTGCTTGGTTGTTTTGTTTTTTTGAGATAGGGTTTCTCTTGTGTAGCCTTGGCTCTTTGGCTGTCCTGGACTTGCTTTCAAGGCTGGCCTTGAACTCACAGAGATCACCTGCTTCAGCCTCCCAAGTGTTAGGATTACAGGCGTGTGTCACCACACCCTCTTTTTAAAAAATTATTTATTTTATGTGCATTTGCATGTATTGTCTATGTCAGGGTGTCAGATTCCCTCAAACTGGAGTTGCAGCTGGTTGTGAACTACCATATAGGTGCTGTGAATTGAATCCAGGTCCTCTGGAAGAGCTGCCAGTGCTCTTAACCACTGAGCCATCTCTCCAGCCCTCTCCCCCAACATCCTCTTAGGAGAAGAAAGATTTATTACTTTAACTCATGATTTCAGGGGTTCCAATCCACCATGTCTGAGAGGGCACAACTGAACAACCCATGATGGCCAGAGAGGGAAAAAGAAAGAGAGGGAGGGAGGGAGGAATGGAGAGAGAGAGAGAGAGAGAGAATGAATATATACCTGGCAGGCTTTCTCCTGTTCCCCTTATTCTCCCTTGGGACTTGGTCCTAGATGGTCTGTTCACCTGCCAGACAGATTTTACCCTGCAGTTTTAATCCTCTCTGGAAACACCCTCCCAGATATCCCCAGAGGTTAGCGTCACTGCTCTCCTGGCTGCTTTCACTCCATTCAGGTTGACTGTCAGGGCTAAGCATCATAGGTTGCTCCTTTAAAATGGCCTTCTTCAGCATTCCCCAGGCACTGCCATCCCAATTCAGGGCCATCTAGGGCTACCCATTCTCCACTTCATCGGATGGGTTGACTTGAGTCTTTGCGGCCCGTATTGTCCCTGCAGGAAGGTGATCAGCGTTGGATCAACACTGTGGCTCAGGCCTTGCACCTTCTCAGTACTCTCTATGGACCCTTTCCTAACTGCTATGGCATTGGCAGGTGTGCCAAGGTAAGAGTGAGAGCAAAACTGGCTTTAAAACCTGTTTTCCTTTTTCTTTACCCAACAAAGATTCCTGGGATTCTGTGACATTCTTTCCTTTGCTTTTGTGTCTCAGGATGGTTCCCTAGAGACAAAAATCTGTGTGGCCAACAGATAAGCAAGAGCTTCTAGGTCACATTCCTAAATCTCTCTTATCTTTGGGGCAGGGAAACATGTTCCTCACCGCAATGAGAGGATAGAAGCAAGTGGCTCATATTCCTTACAATTAACTCCCTTCTTGCGGATAAGACAGGGAAGGGGTTGGCCTCTGTAAGTACAGAGGACCTGGACACAAAACTGAGATGGTCTTGGGCTCTGGTAGATGTCTTATGATCTCTGGAGGAAACTGGAGGAGGAAGAAGACAGTGAGACCAAAGGTCGAAGACCAGAGATTGGACACATCTTTCTTCTGGACAGAGGTAAATATTGCCCAGCACTCTCTTATATTTGGGTCCTAGAAGGCAGGATAATGGAAAATGTGCTGGCAAAGTTGGGGTCCTAAAATTAGGGCTGTGAATCGCAAATTGGTTGTCAACATGGGAAATTTTGCACACGTGGGAAGTTCTTGAGCTGATATTGAGCAAACTGAATAGAAAGCTGAGTCTTGGGAACCTTCATGGTTGGGATCTTGGTTTCAGACATGGACTTTGTGACAGCACTTTGCTCCCAAGTGGTTTACGAGGGCTTGGTAGATGACACCTTCCGTATCAAGTGTGGTAAGTGCCATGATCCTCTGCATCTTGGCAAAGTAGAAATGACCCATCCTCTGGTGACTCCCATAGTAGAGCAGTCCTTGTGGGGGAGACTGGTGATCCTCGGAGATCTTTAGCAGAGTGAAGGAATGAGTAGGAGAAGGCCTTGGTGGAGCCTAATAGCTGGCCCTTCTGCCTTCAAAGGGAGTGTCGACTTTGGCCCAGAAGTCACATCCTCTGACAAGAGCCTGAAGGTGCTGCTCAATGCTGAGGACAAGGTGAGGGCGTGGGTGTATCGGGTTTACTTAGGACCACTGCTACACAAGGCTGGGGTCCAGCCCTAGGCAGGAGGCCAAGTCTCTGGAAGGTTTACCCCTATCAGTTAGGATTAGACCCAAGCCAGGAATGGTGCCTCCCACCTGTAATTTTATCTTTTGGAAGATGGAAGCAGATGGATCTGCTTTAAGGGCAGCCTCAGCTACAAAATAAAAAAATCCAAAAATAAACAGATAGCGGAAAAAGTAGATACAGAACACAGTGGATGGACCTGATGCCCACTTTGTGATACCAGCTCTATTCTGGTCATACTTTGACTAGTGCACTACTTGCTGTGCTGTTACTGTAATCAGGAGGTGGGCAGGGCCTTTTGCAGATCTGACATAGTTAAGTGGTTCCTGTCTTGTTCTCTCACAGGTGTTCAATGAGATCCGTAACGAGCATTTCTCCAATGTCTTTGGCTTCTTGAGCCAGAAGGCCCGGAATTTGCAGGCCCAGTATGATGTAAGGTTCCAAGGCCTGGGCCTCTGTTTGGTTTCTTCAGGGTTCCCTTTCTAATTCTATGATAGGCCTCCTGTGTGTGCTCGTGGGTGTGTGGCTGCTGAGAGAGAATGGAAGTTTTTCAGGGGGTGCTGACCTTTGGGGACATCTCCACAGCGCCGGAGAGGCATGGACATAAAGCAGATGAAGAACTTCGTGTCCCAAGAGCTCAAGGGACTGAAACAGGAGCATCGCCTTCTGAGTCTCCGTAGGTGCTAACCTGGGGGTAAGGGAAGGTGACTGTGCCCTCCAGGGAAATGCCGCTGAAGGCCATTACTTTCTTCCAAGAAAGTAATCTTGTTCTCTTGGCAGATAGTCTCATTTGATTGAAAATAGGAAAAAGTGATTATGGATTTTTCTTTATGAGATTTTTGTTCTGGCAATCAAGGATTATCCTTCTAACTAGTAATGCCAGGGTGTTTTTTTATTTGTTTGTTTGTTCTTTTGTCCCTTTCTGCAGATATTGGGGCCTGTGAATCAATCATGAAGAAGAAAACCAAGCAGGACTTCCAGGAGCTAATCAAGACGGAGCATGGTAACACAGACTCTTCCTCTTGCTCCTACCCCCCTGGCTCCAAAAAAGATGCTTTCTAGCTCTTTCCAGCTGACAATGCTGAGGGTCCTTTATCTCCACTCAAGGATGGAGAAAGAGAGGGAGACAGACATATCTTAGCTAAGGTGATCTTCAGTAATGGGCTGTTTTCTGATGCCTCACAGCGCTGCTGGAGGGCTTCAACATCCGAGAGAGCACCAGCTACATCGAAGAGCACATAGACCGGCAGGTGAGTGTGTGCTGGGAGGCTGTGGGTGAGGGGAGAGGCGGGGTTGCCTAAGCAGAAGGAAGAGAAAACCATGCATCCTGAAATGTCAGTCCTCCTTGACCCTTCCTTCCTGTGCAGGTGTCACCTATAGAAAGCCTCCGCCTCATGTGCCTTTTGTCCATCACTGAAAATGGTAAGCCCAAAAGATCAAGCCAAGAATGCCAGATTGAAAAATATGTATGCCTCAGGGATGAAAGAATTGCTTTTGAATGGCAAATCTCCACAAACAGGACTATTTATTTATTTAGTCATTTATTGAAGTCTTCCTCCTTCAAAATGAAGCTATTCTTGTTTGGGGTGGATCATCAGCAGATCATAGAGGAACTTACTATTCAGCTCTAAGTAGGACCACCTCCTTGGTGCCCCTCATACATTAGGTTTGCAGGGGCATCTCTCTCCTCACTCAGTTTGACCTGTCTTTTTTATTGTTGTTTTGTTTTTCAAGACAGGGTTTCTCTGGGTAGCCATGACTGTCCTGGATCTCGCTGTGTAGACCAGGCTGGCCTCACACTTAGAGCAATGTGCTGGGATTAAAGACATGCACCACCACTGCCTGGCTTTGACCTGTCATCAGTAGGGTTTCCTGATGAAAAGTAGGACCAAGGCAGAGTGGTTTCTAAAATAAGCCTTCCATATAGCCCCAGTTCTGCACACAGCAGTTTTACTGTTGGCCTTTTCAGTGGTCAGGGAACCATGCTGCCCTCTACCTGGAGACACGTTCTGCTTCTAGGTCCCTTCCTCGTAGCTGGGAGCCCAGCCTCCTACCTCTACTTTGAGACCTTTGCAATTCTTTACTCTTTCTGCTTCTCAGTGGCTGTGAACCAGTTCCAATAACTGATTAGCTGGGATGCACAGGAAGATCTGTTTTCCTCCTGTCCACATCGTTGAGCCTCTCTCAGTGGGACTGTGGGTGATTGTTGAGCATGCCTTCCTTGGGCCCAGTGGTTGAGGGCTC